GCCAGATTATTTTCTCTCCTTAACACTGATACCAGTCATATGATCCATGTGCCAGCCAGTGTGCAATGGCCTAACCAAGCAAACTGAGGCCTGAGGTGAGGAAACAACACCAATATCTGCAGGAAAGAATATTCAACCCTGATGTGAACACTGGTTCAGGTGAGGACGTCTGACATTTACTTTGTGTTAGTCTGGGTCGTAGAGAACCAAAAGATTATCCCTGTCGGTAATTTTTTTTTTGTTCAGACAAACCCACTGTCGACATTTTCCCAGCTTTTTGTCGTTTTCACAAGCACAATGTGAGTGATAGACTGTGAATTTTAACTCCTTTCATTTGCATACAATTCACACACAGATAGCACTTTCACAATATTGCAAATGTTCAAACCCTTCAAATTATTATTTTTTCACATCAATATATTTGTGACAATGTAACATGGTCATTTAGCAATTCTCCCGCTGCATTATGGCCCAAACTCATGGTGATGATTTAAGCAAATCTTCTATAATCATTAGAGAAAAAGAACAAGGTAGAAAATTCTTCCTTTTAATAAAACATGGCCATCATTAAGCTCTTGTGGAACACATTCTTGCAGTAGGTCCTCAGAGGCAGTCCAAGGTTTACCACGTGATCATGTGAAAATAATTTATAGCTTCCTTTTGTATAATAAATATAGAGTTAATTATAGAGATGACACAAGCTATATACTTTTATCATTCTTTCCTGGAGTGCTGAGACCCAGACCTTATACATCACCACAACCATAAAGACAACAATACATTTGGCAATGCATGTATCTTCCTTTACAGTTAATATTTCTGTAGCAGTGCTCTCCCTTTTGGCAAAATATAGCACATTGGTGTACTGTGCTGTGCTTTATATGCTGCAGTTTGATGGAGAAGGCCAGCCACTAACATATCTCACTTGTACCAGCGCCTGGGGAAAGCTGACTGTATTTCAGGCTTCACTACAAGGCGCTTCCAGCAGTGCACTAAGCAGAGCATGTGTGGTTTTATGAACAACATGCCTAGTGTGTATTTGATTATATACTGTTCTGCGTCGGCCTCTCACTACACATCACCTCACTGCCCTCTCTCACATCCACAAAAGAAGCCACTCTGCCCAAGCTTTTCCAAGCAAGAAGAGGTTACAAGCTGCATTCATTACAAGCGCTTCTCAGACAGATCGGGCAATTACCATGTGAAGGTAACTTGTAGTATTAAAGCACAAATCTATATGTATTGTGCCAGAGAAAGTGGGTGGGTGTCCTGGTTGGTTTAGGGTTGAGATGGCTGCCATCCATGTGGTTTTTTTTTTTTCCAAGAAGATGGATGAAAATGAGTCCTGGTGCTGCAGAGAGGAGAGTGGATGTGTAGCTTTGAAGCAGAGCAGGATAGCTGTCAAGAGTCAGTCATGGATGAGATGTTCCTATCCACAGCCTATTAGAGAGCTGTTTATCAATGCTGCTGCCAATCAGGCCGACTCACGGTTCGCCCATTCTAATCTGGACTTCATAACCGCCTACATATGGTGCAAGTTCGGCTCATTATGCTGGGCAGGGGTTCCCTCCATCCGACTGATTATGTGATTCTAGAGGAGCTGCAGGTACATACTGAATGCAAAAGGTTGAGACCATGTTCTTGACTGTGCATGTGTTGGCAGGTGTGTGTGTGTGCGTGTATGGTTCTGGGGACACGAAATATAGAAAGAAATCCCATTTTTGTTAAACAATCAGTATCTGTATAAAATAATTTTTTGGCATTCTGTGAAGCAGAGAAATTCACTTGACATGTGTCAAATAAATGTTGAACTACATGTAATCATTGCTCTGGCCAATCCTAGTATCACTTTAAAAAAAATCCCAAGTGGTGCACATTGGATTCAAATTAACAATATGTATCAATCGATATTTATTTTTTAATTTTAATGCAAAAGATCCTAGAAAAGCATGTCATGTAGAGCGCTGCACATTGCGTAAGCACAGCCAAAAGCTACAGCACTTTATTGGACTGCACTGGGTGGTAGCATAGGGCAGTGAGCGCAACAGGAAGCAATTAAAGAGTTTAAACCTGACCTTTAACCCTTTCTCAAACCCAAATTGTGTTTATCTGCTCTATCGGGACTTGCATCATCATTAGCATGTAATTATGTCTTAAACTTACTGCAGTGGGCAATATAGAGTTACAACAAAGGTCAGAGAGTTCATCACTAACTTATCAAATCTAAACTAGCCCTTCTACAGTGCAGTATTTCAGCTCTATCCTGCAGCTGATCAGGGATGCTATTTGGAAATGCGACTTGGATATGTGGTCATATTTTCTTGTCCTGCTCTACTTGAAAGTCAATACGAACTAATCAAGTGATCACACCAGCAGAGTTATGTAAGAACGCGATCTCATGTTACATTAATCCTGATCACCGTGGTAAGACTTAAGAATGAAAAAACAGGCGATGCTTCTTTATTACCATGTCTTACATGAGACTGGTAACAGTTTAGTGTGATGTGATGCACAGTATGTAGCTATCAAGTGCGGAAGTACAAACTTTTTGTCTGAAATGAAGATTCAAACGTTAAAGAGTCATTAAGATATTCATTGATTTTGTTCTATCATTATCACTGTAATGAGCATTTATATTGGAGAAAGTTGATAGAATTTCTGTCTCTACAGTGGAGATTTTCAGTACAGGACCATAAAGAACTTTTGATAATTATAAATACAAATTAATTCAGGTATTTATTTAACTTAAGGGGACATAATTCAACATCTTTTGCTAATATATTCGGCAGAAAGTCTTCTAAGAGAGTCCACCAGGGATCTTTATGACTCCTGATACCTCCATAATGATTTATTCATTTTAGTGGTGTCCCTGTAAATAAGCAGGGCCGTGCTGTATTCTTCAGGGAGAGCAGGACTGCAATGAGCGATCTTGTATTCTGATATTGATAGGTTTGGCTTCAAAGGAACCAAAGTCAATAGAAGTTTAGAGTGTTAGAACAATTGGTTAAAAAAAAATATGCCCTTCAGTTTTTCATTATCGGATTGCATCTCTGCTCATTTGCATGTATATCAAGTTAACGTCTTCAAGTTCCTGCTATGTCTTTAACTGCATTTTCTGTTGATCTTCGCCTTCCAGAACTTGTTTAAATTTAACAGGCATCCCTGTCTCTTATTGTTTGGGTGCTGACACAAAGTAAGAATGAAATATGAAGTATTTGTCTGTTTTGTATTGCAGTAATCAAACATAATTAATCACTGACACCATGTACAGAAGGTGTTGGTGGATCACTCATTCTTCTTTCTAGGTTTTTTCCTCCATTGGTGTTTTTGTCACAAATGAAACTGTCACCAGTGTCTCTTGTGGAAGGTGTAATTACATCAGGGATTTCTCGAATTTCAGCTGGTGTTGTTTCTCAACATATTGCTGAGCAGGGACCTCTGAATGTAATCTCTGTAGGAATTTTGGACCAGGCTTGCAGTGGTTAATAATTCAGCCGTGAGCTGGAGGCTCTCAATGAGGTGAACTATGCAGCAGTCTTGTTAAACATTCATGTTCTCGGCTATGCCTCGCCCCTGGAAGGCATTTGACCGCTGGAGCGATAACTCAAAAGGTAAAGGCTTCTCATTGATATTAATATCAATTTGATGTCTGTGGTGTCAGATCTGGCCCTTCTCAACAATATGCCTGTGCGACTCCGAGCCTCCATTGTTTCTTTCTCACCCTCTTTTAAAGACAGCCTTTGTGAGTGTGCAGGCTTTATGTACACTTTCTTTAATTGTATGGTGGTAGAATGCAATTTTCCTATACACTTTCAGATTTCTTGGAAAGAAGAGGAGGTTAAAGACATTCAGATGTTTTTAATTCCCATGTTTGGTGACTTCCTTTTCCAGATCTTCGTCTTTTATTTCAACCCACTTGTGCATTGTTCTATGTGCTTACATTTTTATTTCTGTTAGAAAATAAAGAACAACGAACTGGAGGACATCTTCCAAATGACTTCAAAGCACCCAAATACAGTATCACAGCATAGAAAACAATAACAGGAACATCTAATGTGCATTATAAACTGCATCATTAGTGCATGATCTCAGATGAAGGGGAACTTTTTGTCAGTTGTTCTTTTAAAAAAAAGGCAGCTGCCCCTCACTCGTGGAGAAACGTGAATGGAGAATAAAGAAGTTTAGCTTTCATTGTAGTCTAGCACAATGAAGAATCAGCAGGGTGGTGACAGTGTGGCTGGAATAAATCCAGACTGTACAGTCACAAGTGACAGCTGTTGCACATAATTTCAAGGTGAGGCGTTTGACAAATTGTTGTTTCTGCAGCACTGAACAAAAAGAAGAAAAACAATAAGGACGATAATTCTTTTGGCTTCTACCTGGGAGGAGTTTTTGTTTTTTATAGGTGAAAGTAAGGGTACATCAATATCAATAATGGATGCTAGTTGAAGAGATTAAAAACACTACTTTTTTTTTCAGAAGATGAGCAGCATTGGTGAGCTGTGAGTCTCCTTTACCGCAACCCCGAGCATGCTCATCAATCATGCTCACAGTACAACAACACAAATTAGTTCTTTTTGGGTGGCAGTGATTTATTAGAATGGCAGCTGGATATGCAAGACTAAATTGTTTTTCTGCACTTTCATAATTCATTTAATTCTCCACACAACAATTTTGTGGCAGGTCAGTGCTGTGCGCGGGGTTTGAATTTTTCAAAGTGGTAGCTGATGTAATTGTGTTTTGTACTCCTCCACTAAAGATCTGAGCCCGTGGGTACGAGTTAGAACTGGTAGTTCAAGCAGCCTAATTGACACACTGCTCCCTGTATCTAAGGAGCCCTTTGGAGCCATCTTGCAGTTTTTTTTTTATTTCTACACAAACAGTCAACAGGCAACTTTTACATCCATAAACAACAGCTGCCTGCACACCAGCAGGTAGTGACCCAGTTAGGATCTTGGCACAGGTACATCAGAAACATAATAACAAGTACAAATGCCCGCTTAAGATCATTTTTTTTATTAATATGAATATGTAATAGGTATTTGTCTGTTTACATATTTGCATTTCCCAAAAGTGGTGTGGGCATTTACTAAAACCATGGTTATTTCTGTAAAAAAAGAAAAAAAGAAATCATTAGTAGGTTTGACCTTCCTGAACAGCCTGCAGCATTGTCATGGATGCATTCTAACATTTCTTTCAAGTACTATTCATCTGTTTAGCAAAGTATCTTTTGAGATAAACATAGTTTGGGGCCATTGTGCAACATTTTGGGATTTTGCCATTTTAGATGAGGGTTTGCATCATAAATCCCACCTGTGGTTACGTTGTTGCTACAGCTAAATGTGAGTAATACGAAGACAATTAGTCCAAGTTTTTATTTACTTTTGCAAGACTATAACCTTCATTCTAACCTTAAAGGTTAGATTAAATGGTAATTTAAGAGTGTCAATATCCTCTTATGTGACATATCTCAGCAAGAAACTAGAAAGGGTCATAATGTGTGGGGGAGTTTGATTTTAATGTTTAAAAAAAACCAGAAGATTTATACATCTAAAAAGTTACATATAGCCCCTTTAACAAAGAAAAAAATGTTGCTTATTATGTTGGTAGAAACATCAAGGACTGCATTTCACTTACAATGTATTTGTTGACATAAATGAGTTGTATATGAACATCATTTCACAGAGATATGGCCGTGAATGGAGTAAATGTTTTTTTTTTTTCCTCAAGTGTCCTCCAAACATAAAAGAGGAACAAAAGTGGTTATTGTCCAGCAGTGAGTTACAGAGCCATGCCAGTCCTTATGACAGCCCCCTAAATGAAAAGAAATATCACCTCAAGAAGACCTCTGGTCAAAACCATCTGATTTGAGCAATGTGTGGGCATATATTCATTCTCAGTCTGCTAGTTTTACACTTCCCTGCACCTACCCAAGTTTACTAACCTTTCAAATTTAGAAAATGTCTCTAAAGCTTTACCCAAACCCCAGCTCACCTTCAGGCTTTGATTCTTTTAACATACCTGTAGCTTCACCTGTGCATTCAGAAACTAGTTTGTCATATTTGGTACTCAGTTCATACTGTAGACTTTCCTTAATGGTCATAAACATTTAAAAGACCTATCAACATAACATCCTACCAAACATTTCTTATATGTAGCTAAAGTCTTAGCTGCAACGATTGTTTCCAACAAAAACACTTTGTACTCCTGGTCCTCCTGTTTGAGCAGTATTTGCCAAAGACACCTATTTCATGAAATGATTAATGCTTTATATGGAATAAAAGATTTATTTATTTGGTAGATTCAAACTGGCTTAGTCCTGAAAGCAGCTGGCATAAAGAAGTAGTAAAGTATTGAGAGATGAACTGATGCATGCTTGCTTTATGTCTATTCATGGGATTTATTGAATAAAAAAAGAGCCTAACCCTCTCAACGCAGTTGTGTTCTGTCAGGCACCAACAGAAAGATCAAATCTTAGCGAAAAAACTCGGACTGTACTGCATTGACTCTCTACAAGCTGTTCCTTTCTAAGCTCGCTGTGTTTGGAAATAAGGTGTCAGGCCCAGTAGGAAAAATGTTAAATGGAAAAGGTACATTATAATAGACATGTAATTATCATTATACTGCATTATGGCCCATAGTTAGGAATGAAGTCTATTCATAATCCCTTTTAACAAGGTTTAAAGAGGGAACAATGATTGAATTCCTATTAGAGAATATTACACTACCTCTCATTATCAGCACCTAAAATTGAATTCATCATCTCTGACCTTTGTTTATCTCTATAATTAAACTAACATTCTTCATCTGAATGAATGAAGCATCTGCAGCACAAACCGCCCTGATATAGATTTAAAACGTGCATTCTTTCATCTTAAATGTATGTTCCCATGTACTGTATATTCCCATGTTGCAGGATTAGTTTAGCAGTGACTTAAAAGCCAAACATCAGGGTTACAGCAGAACCGGAATATTGCACTAATTTATTTACTGCTACAGCCCTCATTTACAAACACCCCCAAATGTAAACATGCCTTAAAAAACATGCAGGGGCTTTGCAGATTTTTTTAGTCTGATGCACGTTTTTGATTAAAATTTTACTACAGTAATTAAAGAATCACAGACGTAGGCCATTAATGACAGAATCTGACCCAAAGACATGCACGTTCATCGCTTTTAGAAGTGGGCAGGACCATTTGATGGAAATGCCTAGAAGGCTGCGTTGTAACACCCCGCCTGTCAGATCTAGATATGTAAACATATGAGACTTCACACAGCGACAAGGGCACGAGGGGAGCGATCTATCACATAGATGACACCCCAGGATTGTCTTTAAGCTTTCCTGATGTTGCACACATAAATTAGCACGAGCCAAACTTGCATCAGTCAATTATGCTGGGGGCGGCGATTAGTGTTTGAACACAAACGTTTTGGAGAGGGGGATTATCCCTGTCAGCCCAGAGACCCCAACCTTCACCCCCACCCCCAAGGTTAACATCCTGATGATAGCAGACAGGTGGGGTTGAAACTCTGTTCCAGTTTTTAGATCAATAAATGAAAAGTGGAGCTTTTACAAATGTATGTTTATGTAATCACCTGATCACAATTCAAGGCGAGCTCAGAAGTTAAACGTTAAGTAACATTAACATCTTTTCAAATAAGTACAATTTCAACAGTGAGAACTCATCCATTCAACTGAAGCAAAACACAATATGCCAGTTTACATTCTGTCAAATATTATTTTTAGTTGAAAGGTTTTTCACATCATTGATCAGGCTTTTGACGGAAAAGTAATCCGCTACAATTTAGATACTCAAATAAGAAATATTGACAGTCACTTTCACCTCGTTTCAGGGAGAACTCGTATTTGTTTTGTCTTTGTATAGTAAAAACTATGGATTTGAAAAAGTACTCCCCGTACAAGAAAAACAACCTCGGAAGATGCCACCTTGGGGTCTAGACACTTTTATCGTGTGTGTGTTGTTTTACAGTTTCTTATGGTTTGAGAATACTAATCAATTAACCAAAAATAATGAACAAATGAATTGATATTGGAAAAAGTCATATCGAAAAGGGCTTTCACACTTTCAAAATACTCCAGAAAAATTCTTGATATTTTGAGCTGGAGCTGCATGTGTGAACACAAACAGCTGAGTTTTTCACTCGTTCTTCACCCGGAGTTTCTCCTGCCAGCCCCCTTGTATTTTTTCCTAAGCAAGTCCGAGTGAGCTGATGTGAGAATGCCGAAAGATATGATCACTAACTGAATGTAGTGTTATTACGTATTTACTGACTTATAGGACTGTTATCGCTCTATCCCTTCTACTCCTGTGCTTCTTGGGTTCATTTTCTAAAGAGGTGATGTGGATCCTTACTCACTCTCAGTACATTCCATGTGAAATTGTTCAGTTCGGCATGCTTCTACAAAACTTGTTGATATGGAACTATTATTGGGTTTACACTCCTCTGCATGGTGTCATTGTTACCATTAGGCGAATGTTGGCAGTGTATATTTCATACCCTCCCTTTTTTTACTAAGCTCTACTCTGCAGAGATTGTTTTACAGCAGAGTCTATCCACAAACAGTCTGCTAATGACTCCCTTTGTTTCATACAAGATATGGATTACCATCGATTGTGATGAGCGTCAGTGCGTGTGGCAGATGGTGCAATAAGACAAATTATTTACCAATACAGCACATTATCGTAACAACTCTCTCGCTTTTCTTATGTTTATGTGCACTTCTTTTCTTCATTTCATTCCCTCTCCCCCTCCTCTCATCTAATGCAGTTTATTTTTCTTAATCTACTGTATCTGTTCTTCGATCGCGCCACTTGTTCAACCTTAACCCGCTAACTGATGCAAGGCGAGGTAACTCATGAGGGAATTACCGGGTGAAATGTATGCTCTTTATCTGGAGCGGTGCTGGGAAGCATTATAGCTACTCCCATCACAAACCTGAACAATACCTTCCTCGCAGAGCGCAAACAAGATGTTTATTTAATTTACTTTCTAATTCAATTCAATTTATTTTGTATAGCGTCAACTCATAACAAGTGTTATCTCAAGACACTTTACAAAAAGCAGGTAAAAATCTGGTCTGGCAGGCCGTCAACCAACGATCCGGTGGGGAGGAGGTAGAGGTGGGGGTAATAAATTGTTTAACCAACTGTACATTATAGAGGAGGAGATAATCCCCACCCCCCCTCCCAACTCCAGGGGATTAAGGTAATGACACAGAAAGACAGGAGGAGACAGGTGGACTACAAGACGTCCTCTCTTATTTCATGCAGTAATGAAATTTAATTATAAATCTCTGCTAATCTCTTTCACAAAGGTCTGGAAGATATTTCCTCGACTGCAGGTGTGCCGGAGCCCACCAATCAGCAGGAGTTAAAAGTCTGATTTACATTCCCTGTCTGAGACGTACTCCTGGAGCTTGAGCAGAGCTGCCTGTAGTGAATACAGGGGGGAATTGTGATTTTTGCATGTATCAAGGATTATTTCTTACTCCCTGCCTATGGCAATGTATTCTTGTGCAAAGAGGAAAGAGGACTTTTTACAGTAACACGTTACTAATGTAATAAGTAAAACTGTCTTGTGGGATAATTTACACATAAATACGGCAGAAATCAAGTATATCCTCTGTAAACGTCTCTCTGAGTCATGACTGTCTAGAAGCCCGAGTCCCGCCAGAAGCCCGAGTCCCGCCAGCTGTCTAGAAGCCCGAGTCCCTGTCTAGAAGCCCGAGTCCCGCCATGAGATGTGATTGTACCTAACAATTACCTATAAAAATTTAATGATCATAACTACACATCAGAAATACAACCTTTGTTTTATTTCCTTAATGTCCTTAATGTCCTTAATGTTCCTTAATGTCACATTGTTGGAGCCGTGTTTACATCATGTTTACAAGGAGGGGACCGCCTCGCGTATAACACAAAAGAAGAATACCATAGCCTACTCACTGATTATTTAGATGTCATGTAAGTGTCTTTAGATCACGATCATTCAGTGTCAATTTATGTGCAATATGAAGCTATGAGTTTACCAAAGTGTGCTAACATTAGCTTGCTAACACAACAATGCAGGAACACAGGCCGTTGC